CTACCGGACTCGTAATCGTGAGATTGCGGGCTCGGGGGTTCGAGCCTCTGCTCGGTCCGACGTTGTGTCCTTGGGAAAGGCACTTTACACGAACTTCCCACTTGGCTCGGTCCTATCGGAGACGGACGTTAAACTAACTCTTAAATAACCTAACAGTGTTGATAGGGGCGTTAAACTCATATCATTTCACCATTTTTTTTCACCATTTCTCTGCGAAGCTAAGATATGAAAAGGTCTACTTTGTCCAAGTCACCCATCTGTTCAAGGGCCCATAATAAAGTTGTCTTTGGTCTACCCCTGCTCAATTGGCTATCCACGAAGGGCATACCCAAAGGTTGTTTTTTTACCTGACCATGAAGGAATAAACGTAGAAAGCTGAAATTCGGTACTAAGCTTAGTCTTTCTTTATGTGGTCGCCTCCCAGAGTTTTACATGTTTGCCATCTGTGTATGATCTTGAAAAGACCTTGAGAATAGAGGACCCTCTCTGTGTCAGAAAACCAGCCCTCTACCGCTTCTTTGACCTCACCATCACTTTTTTACACTAACATTTTATCCCAGCATATCGTGGGCAATGAGTTCCATATACGGCATGTATCTCCATAAAATATCCTGTAGTTGCTTGCCTTGCAAGAACAAATACTTCATTACTGCCCTGCGCTCATTTTTCTCCATTTTATGTTGAAACTGGAGAACAACATACCCCCATTCACTTACAGTGCGCTGGTGGTAAAACCAGTAATCTGAAAGTCTCCAAAATTTATATGCATTCTAGGAAGATGATTGTTGGCTTTCACCCCAAATTTCAGCTTTCTACCTTTACTACTTCACGGTCAGGTAAAAAAACTTTTGGTATTCATCGTATTCATCCAGTGAGAGCAAAATGCTCTGGTTAACTTAGTTGTACAAAGTGCCTTTGAGGTTGTTAATCCGTTGTTGTTGTTGTTTTTATTTGTTTCTGTTTATTGTGTTTTTTGGGGGAGGCGGGGGTGTCTTGACTCTCTGCTCAGCTACATGAATCTCTGAAGACTACCCCCACAAAACAGCAACAACAACAACAACAACAACAACACATACACACACAC